AAAAAAAAAAGAAAGAAAAGAAAAAAAGGGAGGGAAAAGTGGAGGAGGGGTTTGGAGATTTGGAGAGTTGACTCAGAGGTTAAAAGCACTGGCTGCTCTTCCCAAGGACGCAGCACTAAATCCCGTCTCCAGGGATCTTTTACTAGCCTCCTTGAGTACCAGTCACACATGTAGTACATGGATAGATATGCAAGCAAAACATTCATAGAAAGTAAAAAATAAAAATAAAATAAGCCAGGCAGCAGTGGCACACACATTTAATCCCAGCACTCGGGAGGCAGAGGCAGGCGGATCTCTGTGAGTTCTAGGCCAGCTTGGTCTACAGAGTGAGTTCCAGACAGCCAGGATTGTTTCACAGAGAAACTCTGTCTTGAAAAACCAAAAATAGATAGATAGATAGATAGATAGATAGATAGATAGATAGATAGATAGATAGATAGATAGATAGATAGGAAGAAAGAATAAAGATCAGCAAAGCAACCTTATATTCCTCCACGGTACTACCTGTAAGTCCAAACTCTGGGGTAGAACCCTAAGATGGACAGGTCTTAACAAGCTCTCAGATGATTCCTCAACACATTCAAACTTAGAATAGTTTTGAGCAGTGTAAAACCAGCAAAGGGTAAAGCTCTGTGGATGGAAGAGTGTTGGTTACTTTTCCCATTGCTACAGCATCCTTTTTGTTTTTTTGTTTTTGTTTTTGAGCCGGGGGTTTCTCTGTGTAGCCCTGGCTGGCCTGGAACTAGCTCTGTAGACCAAGCTGGCCTGGAACTCAGAGATCTGTCTGCCTCTGCCTCTGAGGGCTGGAATCAAACAAAGGCTGTGCCACCACTACCCAGCTAGCAACATCCTCTTAGAGAATAAAGGGTCTATTCCAGTTCAGTTTGACAGTGGGAGAAACATGAAGCAGCTGGTCACATTGCATCCCAAGTCTGGGAAGTGTAAATATGGGTGCTCAGCTCTGTTGCTCATTTTTATTCAGGCTGGGACATCAGTCCACGGAATGTTGCTGCCCACATTTTGGGTGGATCTTCTGTCTCAACC